TATACTCCCTTAAAATATTTTACGCATTTTCCTATCAAAGTAAAATGAATTTATCCTTTTTCTGATGACTGAGGGCTATTTAGAAACAGTAAAATCATTTAAGCTGAGTTATCTTAAGCTAGCTGTTTTGTTAATTTTTGTGATATATTTTACAACCACTGCGTCGAGGATCTTGAGTAGATGGCAGGGTAGTAGCTGTTTTGCTACATATAAAACCCTGACTAGAAGCAGGCTGTGTGAAATGATTTAGCCCCAAGTTATTCACAACAGGTAGAGAGTGACAGGTGGGGGTCTTCTCCTTTCCTGCCATGCTCTGGACCCCAAGGTGAGCTGAGATGGGTTTTGAAGAATGAATACTAATTTGCTCCTAGGGCAAGAGGAGTCTCTGTCCAGGCGCAAGGGAAAAGCTGAGCAAGGGGCTTACCACTTTTCAGAGGAGCATGTGGGCTCGAAGTCAAGTGCCTTGCCTGGGCCGCACAGCCAGTGAGCGGTGGGGCTGGGATCTGAATCCCTTTGACTGGCTGCTCTCCGGGGCCGAGGGCTTCTCACTCAACATGCCCAGACTGCTTCCTTCCTGCCTGTTTGTATCTGCTTCTTCGAGTCAGGTTATCCACTATTTCTGTCTACTCCCAACCTTGATTCCTTTCTAATTTGCTGCTTGTACTTTTAATGGGGACTGAGAGAAAGGAAGTTCATTAGACTTGCGTTCTGTACAAAGCCAAAAGGATCTGAGCCTACCACTCTCCCCCTTGTAGTTCTGGGCTTGGGCTTGGCTGACTATAGCTATTTCTCCAACTGGCTGTCTTTTTCATTTTTATCGAGATTCATGACCATGCTTTTTTCTGGATTGCTGACATTGCCAGTCTCTAAAAAAGTGTGGGATTATTTTATAGACATGTATTTCTTTATTCATTTAAAATCCACAAGGCTGAGCTGTCTACCTACAAAACCATGGTTAGATGCGCCAAGAGGAAAAAAAAAAAAAAAAAAGAAAGCCTCTATCTATTTTGAGCAAAATTAAGAGCTCTGGGCACTAGTTCAGCGTTCAGCAAGGCAGCCAGAAGCTATGTGAGAGAATATGTATGGATGAGGTGGCCTAAATAAACTCATCTGCCAGGCGTTAAAAAAAAAAAAAAAACCCATAAAAATTAAGCTAATTAGGCTTATAGACCATGTCTCAACACTGTCCATGCCACCCACCAAAAGACCTCGAAACACTTTACATTTGTTTAGAGTTGTTTTTCAAAAGAGCAGTTTCAGCCCTGACACATTCTCCATGTGTACCGAATGGAGACCTCCGTTTCAAAGCCTGATGTATACAATGCAAGAAATCCTTGTTGAATGACTAACTCCTCCCAACGCGCGTGGTGCTTTGTAAAGATCATTAAGTGTTTCATAAAAATACTCATCACTTCTTACACTCTTATCTGACCCCAGGGCGGGGTTGGGGTGGGGTGGGGAGAGATGTGGGTATCACCCATACTTTTTAATTTTTTTTTAATTTATTGGAGTATAGTTGATTTACAATGTTGTGTTTGTTAAGTTTCTGATGTAAAGTGAATCAGTTATACAAATACATACATATACTCTTTTTTAGATTCTTTTCCCATATAGGTCACTACAGAGTATTGAGTAGAGATAGTAGTGTGTATACGTCAATCCCAATCTCCCAATTTATCCCTCCCCACTTTTCCCTCCATAACCATAAGTTTGTTTTCTGCATCTGTGACTGTTTTGTAAATAACTTCATTTGTATCGTTTTTTAGATTCCACCTGTAAGCGATATCATATTTGTCTTTGTCTTATGTCACTTAGTGCGATAATCTCTAGTTCCATCTATGTTGCCGCATATGGCATTATTTCATTCTTTTTTTATGGCTAATATTCCATTGTATATAAGTACCACATCTACTTTATCCATTCATCTGTCAATGGACGTTTAGGTTGCTTCCATGTCTTGGCTATTGTAAATAGTGCTGCTATGAATATCGGGGTGCATGGATCTTTTCGAATTATGGTTTTCTCCAGATATATACCCAGGAGTGGGATTGCTGGACCATATGGTAGTTCTATTTTTAGTTTTTTAAGGAGCCTCTATAGTGTTCTCCATAATGGTTGTACCAATTTACATTCCCACCAACAGTGTAGGAGGGTTCCCTTTTCTCCACACTTTCCAGCATTTATTGTTTGTAGACTTTTTGATGGCCATTCTGATCGGTGTGAGGTATCATTCCTATGTGACAGATTGGAAGCCAGATTCGGAGGGGTTAAGTGGCCGTGCCCAAGTGCTAGAACAAGAAATGGTTCTAGTGAGTCTCAGGCATCCTTTTTGTCACTAGGCAGCAGGCAGCCTTCCACAGGACAAAAGGGAACCAACACTGATGGTGCAGGCTCCATACAAACATAATGGCAAGGGCAGAGTTCTCTCCAATTCTTTACAGATTAAGAAGTGAGGCGTCATTAAGGGTTTCATGATTTGAGCAGGGTCATAACTTCAAAGTGGCTGAATTGGGGCATTCGGAATCTAGCTTCTAAAGAATAGATGCTGACTGCCCTTTGTATCACACGGTAAAAACCCAGTTCATTATTCAGTATTTACCCTGAAACCATTAAGGACATAAGGATGAACCTCTTTTTCAGAGAGACTTTTTTTCCTAAACAAAACAGTACAGAAGAAGATTAAGAAGAGCATCACTAGAGTCCAGCCTCAGCATGGCTGCTAGTTGTAACTCACATCTAACCAAGTTACTCTTCTGCTTTCAAGTCTGGAAAGGGTACCGATCGGTCGCCCACTGCATGCATCCAAATCTCTTCCCCTGGCATTTTAAGTCCTTCCCCATGGGTCTGCAATTCAATTTCTCCTCTCACCTTTCTTCACATCCATTCAGGGCCCAAGTACAGCAAGCTCCTTGCAATTTTGCGAACACGCATGCGGCCCTGCCTTGCCTCTGGGCTTTGCCCATGCTGTTCCCTCCATCTGTAATGTGAAATCTTATACATCTTTCATCTGTATTACCTCCACGACCCTTTCCTGATCCTTGAGGCAGAACAGCTTTCTCTGAATTCTGTAGCATGGCTATACATTTCTCCATCATAGAATTTATCACACTGAATTATACTTAATTGTTAATATACTTATGCCACCCTTCCCCCCACAACTGGAGAATGTGGCAGAGGTCAAGGCTTATTAATCTTTGTATAACCTTGTTTAGTCCAGTCCCTTGCAAAGAGGGAGAGCGCTAGCTCAGTAAATGCGGAATGGCTGGCTGACTGTTTAAGAATGAGGTTTTCATAGTTAACTCAGCTTTAGTATGAAATTCAAAACAGTGAAGAAGACAGGACTCAAACATAGCAGGGAAGTAACATACACTTTTACTCTCAAAATAAATACTAATCAATTTTATTTTATAAATACAGATGCTGAGTTTTCTTCCAATTACCAACAGATCAGTTTCACATGCCATTTATTATTGGTGGTGGTTTAAAAAATTATTTAAATAACTGGTTAGGTCAGGATAAATGGGCACTATTAGAACTGCTAAAAAAAATAAAGCTGGATACAATCTTCCAAAACTAATATTCTGGGGGGGAAAAAAATCTCTGGAATTTTTAAAGTGGGTAAGGGGAAGTGGAGAGAGAAAACACAAGCAAATATTCATCTGATAACATTTGCCGGCTGTAAAAGTGTCTCAGCTACATGAAAATTGAAAGGGCTCTTAGTTCAGAAATGGATAGGACTGAGTTTTCATTTCAACTTATAGTCTCAAAGCAAAAATTACAAAGATTAGTAGGAGATAATACCTCATCCCATATTTGGCCTTGGCCACTTTAAACAGAGGCAAAATGAATTCTGCAGCTTTGGGAAATGTCAGAGTTATTCCCGGAGAATGTAATGCTGTAGGATCTACCCAAGTTTGGCAGAAACTGCAGACATCAAACAAACTCGGTGAAAACTCAAAACCTAAACTAAATAAACCGAAACCTAAGTGGTGTTTTGAGGCACAACATCACTGGACACGGTGTGGATTAGGCAAATGTGTAGGTAACTATTGATCAGTTCTGGCCTACCAGATCACATTCAATGGTGGGGTTCCCTGCTGTGTGGGTCAAAGGCTGTGAACCCCAGAATCAGGGAGTCCACAAATGGGAGATTGACAGATGGAACCCCGGAGCTGCAGGCTCTATCTGGCTGTGTGGAATCTGAGATGACACTGTAACTATGGGTGCTCCTGTACGTGGTCCCTCTGCTTGGTGATGCCAGAAGCTGGGCTGGAGCACCTGCATTGAATGCACCTTGTCTTTGAGTTTCGCATGAAGTTTAAAGGTCTCTCCCATATCTGAAGAATCACACGTCACATGTGATTCACCTTCCATTGTTCAATACTAATATAGTCCTTCAAAACCTTTTTTTTTTGGGCTTGGTGGGGGGTAGATGTTACTTCACTGGAGGACCCCACAGCCCAGTCTGATGTACATCCAAGATCATGTCTAGCTCCACCCTTACTGACTCCAAAATGAATGACGGTACTCTGCAAGGAAGCCGTGACTCTACGGATGGCTTCCGCTCCAGGTTTGGAGTAGTTCCACCTGTTTAGAGGAATAGGATGGATTTCTTCAGATCAAGTTAAAACTTTTAATTGCTTGCAGGTTGGGTCTGTCTGTCATACAATGATCTTGTGAGTTCTTTACCTGAAAAATAACAACATGAACTATTCCATTTACCAGTGTAGCTCTGTTTATAATTGAGCCCAGGAATGCTTGGACAAAATATGAAAATGATTATGAAACCTATGAGTTAAGTCGTTATGGAGGACCAATGAGCTACTGCAGAGTACGCCTGTGACGGTGTGTTGCTACACACAATATGTAAACTCAAATGAAGTCAACGGCATTAGCTTAGATACAGCCACAGGTTTTGTTCAGGCTAGTGCTGTCACGATGTAACATACGGAGATGTAGGTTCAAGAGGAATTTCAAAGCTGGGGAAAAAAAAAATCAGGTTGAGTGAAGTAAACTCAATTTTTATTCTTTATACAATACACGGATATAAGCATAGAATTTCCTTAAAGAGCTTGCAACCCTGAGGCGATGTCCTTGGGTATATAAAGTATATAGCAATAGCAAATGATATCTGAGCTCCAGGAATGAAAATGTACTTCAAAAACATAATTTAATATTTATGCAATTGCACACATACCGATAGTATTTTATGCCTCATCTAGTCTCTTAATCTAACTACCTCAACTGCCTTGCAGTCTGCACACTGGACAGCCTGACTCTACACATATTTTATCATATACAATGCCTTCCTTTCCAACTGAAATTTAATAAATTAACATGGGGTTTACATATAGGGATTTCTATATGGTGAGTGTGTTGCCAGAAAGCACACCCAGCTTTTGACAACAGCCTCTGCCCACATAACTGTGGCCCCCAGAGGGAACTGGAGGCCACCTGACTATAGTAACCTCAGGGGTCCTTGAGGATCCCCTGGGATCCACCAGTGGTGAGGTCTTCCCTATAATCTGAGGGCTGCAGCAAGGGTATGGCTGACTGGAAGAGGTGGAAGGTAATGGCAACTTCATTAAAGAACCAGCAAACGTGATGTCCTCAGTCGTCAGGATGCACAAGGTATCTACTGTGCAGACGGGGTGACAGCTAGGTTGACTGTGAAGTCTGGGACCAGGGGCAGGGGCAGGGGCAGGTGGGCCTGGGTATAAGGAGGCCATTGTGCTTCTAACTCATCAACTTAATGGACGGCCAAAGATCCTTCAGTGGATGTTGGAGACCTTTTACTGAATATTCAATTTTCCCAAAGTTTCATAAACTATGGTGAGGGCAAATGCTTATAAGAAACTAAAGATAAATTCATTATATTATTTATATATTATCATCTTCCCTCTGAGGATAACACAGAAGTGTAAATAAAAAAGCAGTCAAATGCCTATAAGGTGACTAGAGCTAGACTTCTGCCTTAAAATAACTGACAGGCCTGAAAAGCAAATCTTGCAAGCAAAGTCTAACTTTGGCCCACTGATACACAATGATCCTGAGTCCCTCCTTGATTCACAAAGTCTATTTTTCTGAGGAATATCCTCCATTAATATTCATTTTGTGTCATAATTATTACAAAGGGTAACCAGTGCAGCTTTATCCTCATTTCAAGCAGTGACTCTATCCTGGTCCTACCGTCTGTCCGCTCGCTTCACTTATCAGAACTCCTGCGTGGCCGGCGGAAGCTGGATACATTTTCGTTCAGTGCATAGATCCTTCGGGAGAACTCTTCAAATTCTCCCAGAACTTGTTCGTCACATTCCACTGCCACGGCACTGTCCACGGGGATGCAGTTAAATGCTTCCAGCTGATCGCCTGAGGTGAAGCCTGTGGCTTCCATGCCGATGATCTCTTCTGCTTGCTCCACGGTACAGCAGAGCTCGGCTTCGGAGACCGGGTGGAACCCCCCTGGAAGCTGGGCGCTGGAGGAGCCGGCCTGCTCGCTGGGCAGGAGGGTGCCGTTGACTGTGGCTGGAGGCCCCGGGAGGGCTTGTCCCTGTTCCTGGCTAGTGTTCACACTCCCATGGCCTCCATTGAAGCTGTCACTCAGATCTACCCCTTTTTTCTTGTTTTCTTTGGAGAAGTCCAAGGAGGTGTCCAAGGAGGAAGACAGAGATGTTGTCTTTCTCTCAGATTCTCCCGTGGAGGGGACAGTGGTCACAGGCTGGGCTAATGCTGAGCTGTAACTGGGGGGAGGGGTTTTGTACTGGAGTCTCTCATTCTCTGAGCTGGCCCGTTTCCGGTGTCCTTTGTCTGGTGAAGGCATCCCCCCAGAGAAGCCTACATCTACACCCCCAAATACGGAGCTTTGTCTCTTTGGAACAGGGATTGCACTGGAGGTGTGATGTCTGTCGCTAGAAGACAAACAAAAATGAGAAGTTACTTTCAACCTCAGAACTCAGCTTAAACCTTCTGGATCCAGAGATAGGAAATAACATATTTAGGTTTGAGATAATACAAATTGATAATACTCAACCTTAGTATTAATTTTAGTGTCCAAATACAAAATGCAACATAAAGTATTCTGAGTTCAGCATTGGGAGCTTCCTTTAAGAAGGATACAAGATATACGGAAATATATGCAGAGGGTAGGGCGGGGGGTAGAGACAATGTCATATGGGGAGGAGTCGAGGCAACTGGAGGGACTGGATCTGGAAAGAAAAATATATGAGGATGTGATCAACTTCTTATGTCTGAAGGGCTACCAATATCTTATTCTTGTTTTTAATATTCAAGTCTTATTTTACCTTCATAAAGCAGGTATCCTCATTTGACAGAGAACTTCAATGACTTGCCCACGATAACCTCAGCGAGGCAGGGGTGAGGCTGGACTAAAATCCATGACTCATAGCTCAATGATCGATAGCTTTTCCAATACCCGAATGCTAACCGCCTTGCATGAGATAAGTGGCAGAGACAGGAACAAGGAGGGGTGTGTGTGTGTGTGCGTGTGTGTGTTCAACGAAAAATTAACTTGGGAAATGACCTCTCCTTTATAACGCTAGTCACACACACTTTACAATACTTGGTCTTCAGTACCTTCCTTCAAACTTGAGTTGCTTCTCAGGAGGATACTTTTGGGCCAGCAATAATAATCACTGTTTGGCTACCCAGAGCATTATCGTTTCTGAAGTTATTTCATATACATCATTTCACTTGGTCCTCACAGAAACCCCATCAGGAAAGCAGGGTATACGTTATTACTCTTAAGTCTGAAATAATAAATAATAATTAGTTAATGGAAATAGAGTACCCAGACTCTGGAAATGATAGTTTGTAAACTACGCTAGTGAAGCCACCTCTGGAGCACTAATCACAGCTCTAGACATCATACTTGGCTGACGCTAGTCAGCTTCAATACAACTATATGAACAAACTGGGTCCAGAGACAGAGGGAGGTGCAAACACAAGATCCATCTGACTGGTGTTCTTCAGATGAGGAAACACACACAGAGAAGTGGCTTACAAAAACAAGTACCAGGCAGGAGCAGAGGTTAGACTTAAAACTATAGCTATCCAACAAATAGCTGCTACATGTGCCAGGCCTTGAGGAGGGGGAACAGATGTAAGACATGCTGGCCCTGCCTCTGACGAGCTTCCAATCTTGCAGTAGAAAGACATCCACAGTTACTGAAATAATACATTTTCAAATTACAGTCATGGTAAGTGCACTGAGAAAGAAGAAAGGATCTCGGGTTCCTTCTACCTGTGTCTACAGCCCCAAACCCTTAGGCCAGCTCCTGCCCCCTCTCCTCTCAGATCTCTCTTGATGCTCGACTATCCCTGTGGTCTAAGCAAAGGTTCGTCAAGCTTCTTGAGGAAAGGCAACCAAAAGGCTTCTTCTAATCCATGTGCCCATCAGGCTCCCTTGCTTGGCTATGAGTGTTGGTGCCAAGAGCGATTTCCTAATTAGGGGTGCTCACTGGGGCACACACAGAACCAGGCAAGTAGACTAGTAAATTACTGTTTTTAGTTCTCAAGAAAAACTAAGCAGAGCAAAACTTGTTGGCCTTAATCTGGGTTTTCAGTTAATATGTTGTCAAAACTCACAGTAATGGGGTAAGCTGCACATTTTGGCCAACCTTCTTGTTTTCACTGCTACTTGCTGACAAGTGTCCCTCTCTACATGATTCTGCAGGGGCCCTAGGTAATCAAACCAAAACAGCATCAGCACCACCCACAGACAGCCTATTCTGGGCAGACAGGCCACGCTTTCAGCTGCCACCACAGCCCATGAGGGGTGGGAAGCACCAGGTAAACCCGCCCGGAACGCTGAAGGTGATATTGCTGGCACGGGACCACAGGCCAGGTGCTTAACCACTTATGGCTACGAAGGGTGAATGACTTGACACCCTCCCTGCTGCCACCCAACCTATAGCTAAGCTCTGGGTCTGGGGTGTTACCCCTATTTTTTAAATTTAATTTTTAAAATTTTATATTGGAGTATAGTTGATTTACAATGTTGTTAGTTTCAGGTGTACAGAAAAGCGATTCAGTTGTACATATACATATGTCCATTCTTTTTCAGATTCTTTTCCCATATAGGTTATTACAGAATGTTGATTAGAGTTCCCTGTGCATCAACAGTAGGTCCCTGATGACGTTACTCCTGTTTCGATGCATGGATTCAAAGGCTTTTGTGAGATGGAGACTTTGGCATTTGCTGACATCCTGATCCTGGGATCTTACCCAGTTTTCCTGGATTTTTATGAGAGCCCGGGTAATGACAGTATCAAATACAATTTAGAAAACCTAAGAAACAGTAAAACGTTCCCTCTTAAGAACGGTAAGAAGATGAGGTATTACGGAGACAAATAAGGAAGTCTACATATCTAACGTTTACCCTACAATCACACACTGTCTTTTTTTTCCCATTTGCAGCTATGTGCCATGAAACCTTTCAAAAATTTTTATTAGTCTTTCTTATAATCTTTTTTTTTTTTTTTTGCAGTATGTGGGCCTCTCACTGTTGTGGCCTCTCCCGTTGCAGAGCACAGGCTCAACGGCCATGGCTCATGGGCCCAGCTGCTCCGCGGCATGTGGGATCTTCCTGGACCGGGGCATGAACCCGTGTTCCCTGCATCGGCAGGCGGACTCTCAACCACTGTGCCACCAGGGAAGCCCTAGTCTTTCTTATAATCTTAAAAAAAGTTGAACAAGAAAGGTATTTTCCCTTTTTTTATTAAAAAAAATTTTTTTTAACTTTTAATTTTATATTGAAGTATAGTTGGTTAACAATGTTGTGATAGTTTCAGGTGTACAGCAAAGTGATTCAGTTATACATATACATGTATCTATTCACTTTCCAATTAAAAAATGTATTTTCTTGATAACTTTGGGCCATCAGTATTAACATGTCTTACTAACTATGACATAGTAGAGAGACTATGGGTCTTTCAGGGGCGTGTTTCTGAATCGGGGATCTGAGTCCGAGTTCTTAGGTCTGCACTCAGGCTTTTCTGTGTCCTCTCTCACTGTCAGGCTGTCACGTGTGGCCAAGTCAGTGCTCTTGCCTGTGAGCGCTTCTCCTTTTTTGACATTTGCTTCTAATTTGCTGTGTTCTTGTAAAGTAGATGTCTTGAGAATTGTGTGCAAAGCAAGAGTAAACAGGATTTGAGTGATGGACCAGCAGATATCCTGGGCATAATATGCTTTATTATATGAGTTTTGTAACATTAGTTTTGGCTGCTCAGAATTAATTTTTTATTACTTCCAGAATCTTAGCAATGTTCCAAATTTTTAAGATAGCTGAGGTTTAAACAGCTCAAGTGTTGAATGACTGCATTAAAATATATATGAACACACATGCATTTTTAATTATTATAATAATTTATACTCCCTGGAAAACTAAAAAATATAAACCATATTAAAAAATAAAAATCACTCAAAAGCCTATTACCCATCAAATAACCATTATTTGGATATTTTCCTTTCAGACTTTGATTTTATATATGTGTGTTTAATTTAAAAAAGACACAAAACCAAACAAACAAAAACCAAAATGAAAGCTGTGTTTGCAGTATATATATATACAATTCTGTATCCTGTTGTTGGAAGTTATTCAAACCTCTTGGTAAACAATTCTAAATGGCTACTCCACTGAATGGAATATCATAACTTACTTAATCATTTTCTTATTTTTGTGGATTTAAGATATTTCTCAAGTTTTACTATTAAAAACCAAACTATTGTATTTCTGTATAAAAACACAATGCATAGGTATTTTTTTTGGTTTTGTTCTTTTTGTTGTTTTGTTTTGTTTTTTGCAGTACGCGGACCTCTCACTGTTGTGGCCTCTCCCGTTGTGGAGCACAGTCTCCGGACGCGCAGGCTCAGTGGCCATGGCTCACGGGCCCAGCCGCTCCGCGGCATGTGGGATCTTCCCGGACAGGGCCACGAACCAGTGTCCCCTGCATCGGCAGGCGGACTCTTAACCACTGCGCCACCAGGGAAGCCCAAGGAATAGATTTTTAATAAAATAATTCTGACTTTCATATTTAATAGGTTTCTAGAATGAATCTTCATTACACGTTTTGGTATTAGTTAAATTCTTACAAGAAAAATAGGAACGTTATACCTCTATTATTGACTAAAAAGAGAAAGGTAGCGGGCTTCCCTGGTGACGCAGTGGTTGAGAGTCCGCCTGACGATGCAGGGGACACGGGTTCGTGCCCCGGTCCAGGAAGATCCCACATGCCGCGAAGTGGCTAGGCCCATGAGCCATGGCCACTGAGCCTGCGCGTCCGGAGCCTGTGCTCCGCAATGGGAGAGGCCACAACAGAGTGAGGCCTGTGTACCGCAAAAACAAAAAAAAAAACCCAAAAAAACCCCAGAAAGGTAGCAATTAAAAAGGCAAATGATAGATTAAAAAAGAATGCCCAGAATGTTTCAAGATTCTTTTTGTCTGATTACAGTCTGGCTTCATAATTATTTTATCTAGATGGAAGAAAAGGTTGAAATGCCTAGATTTACTAATTATTAAGACCAATTTTTAAAGGCAATTGACAATTTACTTATCAAATGAAATTAGTACAGTATTTAAATAGTGATGAATAACTTACAGGGAACTTCTACTCTTAGTGACAACCAGAGTAAACCTGAGTGTTCTGGGGAGGAGTGGATGCAGCAGGAAATGTAGTAGCATTTCTTTATCCTCCACTTCAGCCAAGGGTCCCTATGTTCTAAGGCACTAGATACGGGGGCAAAGAGCCTGAGCTTTAGCAACTGGACTGAGTCCCCCAGTTCACTGCACACATTCTTCTCATCAGCTGTTTGCCTTGAATGGATGCCTCTCCTAGCTTGGCTTAGGTCCAAACTGGAAACATGACATCTGGGGCTTAATGCTGCAATTAAA